GTGAGCCAGGCCAGCACCTGGAGGGGAGACTCCTGGGAGAGCTGAGGCTGCTGCTGGAAGAGGTGTGAGTGGGGCCAGCAGGGGGCGCTCAGCCTGCGGTCTGTGTGGGTCCTGATGCCCCAGTATAGTGACGGGGGACACTAGACTGTAAACAGGCGCCGTCCTTCGGATGAGACGTAAAACCGAGGTCCTGACTCTCTGTGATCATAAAAAACCCCAGGGTGTTTCTCGAAAGGAATATGGGGTGTTACCCCAGTGTCCTGTCTTTCCCATTGACCAGTCACGGTCTCCTAATAACCCCCCTCTCTGAACTGGCTCCATCACTCTGCTCTCCTCCCCACTGAGAGCTGGGGTGTGGCGAGTGTGCTGGTGCTCTCTGGCTGCTGCTGTTGGTGGTGGTGTCCAGAAAAGCACTATATAAGCGCAAGGAATTACAACGATTATTAAACAAGACTTGAGTAGCTCAACCTTAGCCAAAGGTCCTCAATCAGGACGCGAGCTGAGCTCTATGACCTTTGACCCCTCACATGACTGATGATCACTGCGTACCCTGTTCTGCAGCAGAGGAAGGACGTCAGCCAACCAGGAAACAAAGGACGACAAAAAGAACGGATCAAGTGTCTTTAGTGCTTCATATTTACACAATCAGAAGAGACACAAATAAACCGCAAACACAACACAGGCTGGGTGTTACCGTGGTTTTCTTTTCACACTGTACAATTCAGTCATTTATTTTCCCCTACAGCAGAACATCATACGACTCTCGCGAGTCCATGGAAAAGACAGAATTAAGACGCACAAGAAGACCAGCTCAAGACTCTTGAGTTTTTTTCGTCGGGTGTTATTACAGAGCAACAGGGATGCCAGTGGTTTCCCAGTGGAAAACCCAGGGGATGTGCGGCATTGATCAGGGACGGTGATGAAGGGTGGTCTGAGGAGGGCGCCAAAGGGCGCCTGTTTTGCAGTTCGACAGGAAATAAAAACCCTTGTCATTTTTTAAATAAAGTTCTCTGCGATCAGTTCATTCCATTTATGATACATTCACCAATTGTGCACGTGGTCCAGTTACAGACAGCTCCCCTTCCTACCAATTTACAGTACAGCCTGTACAGCAGTACAGCCTTCCAAACTGCCTGTCGGGCCACTGCTCACAACAGGAAGTGCCCGGAGGACGCTAATAAGTGCGACACCAACGCCGAGGGAAGGGCGGTTTTCTTTTTCTTTTTAAAAAAAAGGTTCGGCTGGTGCGGCGCGACGCTCCTTCTCCCGCTTCGCAGCTCCAGGCGGCACAGGAAGCCGGAGAAGCTGCCCCTTCCCCGCCCGGCCGCGAGGAGAGACCGTACAGGGACGGCGACGCCGACCAAGGCTGGCATGCAAGCTGATCCCCACCCAGGCGAAGCTCACCCAGGCACCCGACAGTGGCTTTCTGCCCAAGACCGTGAGCAGCCGCCGAAAACCCGGAGTGGATCGGACTGCCGTGCAGCCGAACTACAGCGGGGGTCTCACACTCCGCTCCTGGAGGCCAGGCGTCTACTAGCCTGACATTCCCAGTTGAATGAATGAATGAATGAATGAGCTGCGCAGTTGTTAACACCTCCGACCCCGCTCCAGGGTGATTTATAGGTCACTTTATCCTGAGGGAAGCACATGACTTGTGTCATCCACCGCAGAAGAGCTGGAGACAAATCGTTAGAAGGGTCTAATTAAGAAGGCGATGAGGTTAACGGTTTAACGGACTGCTCCGGCCCTCCAGGCAGCGAGACCGACGCCCGAATCGCACCAGCGCTGGGGACCGCCCAGAGGTCGGGTGGCAGGAAACACAGGGGAAAGATGGAAAGAGACATCCCCATCCGAGCCATCCTCCACTCGGGCAGGACCTACACAGACAGGGCTGCCTAGACACCCATCCACCCTTCAACGGCCTCCTTTATCCGCCTTCGTCTTCTAAAGATGTCTCTATCGTACGCACGGCCGATGGCACGGCCGTGGACGACAGGAAAACGGGGAACAGGTGCAGGTTTATCCCAGGCCGAAAAGAGAAGAACAGGAACACAACATCTCGGCTGTGGAGCCTTCTTCGGCTCCCGAAACGTTGCGTTTCCCTTTCTTCTCTTTTCAGCCCGGCATAAATCTTTTACTTCTCCTCGACACAGCTGCCTACTCGAACTACAAAAGCAAAACAAACCAACAACCTGGAGCCGTGGCTTCCAATACTGGTCCTGCTGCCCCCCTCCCTCAGGCGATACCTGCAGCCTGACGTCCCCTCAGCAGCTGCGTCGCTGGAGCGTCTGCACTTGGCCTCTGGTGCCAGGGCTGGGATCTTACTGCACATCCCACACCCAGCTGCTACAGCCCCAGCGCGTGTAAGGGCTGGGAACAGACGGCTCACACCCGTCCCGTTATGAAGTCAAGGAAGGGCTGGACTAGGCGACCGAAGGCGTGGGTGGAACACAGGCTCCCGGGCGCGGGGGGGCAGCAGGCCCAGGATCGGGGAGAGGAGGGAAGAGGGAGTGAGGAGGAGAGAGAGAGAGAAAACAAGACCCACCAGCGCGGCTCGCCGTAGGCGTAGAATACAAGTACGTCTTTATTTTGGCAAAGAGACAGCAAGTGAAGTGTACAAAACAACAGGATTCTCCCCCCCCCACCCCCCCGCGTCCTGGACACAGCAGACAGCGGCCCCTGCGCCGGGCTGACCCCCACCTGCCCTCGCCCTCCCCGGCGGGCCGGAGACGAGGTCCGGCCGGCGCGAGACGGGGCGGACCGTTCTACCGACTCCAACAATCAAGACGGAGACGACACGAGGATGAGGGAGGGGGAATTCAGGCGTGATCTCGGTGTGTCCGGGCCCTCCCTCCTTCTGGCAAGTGTCCCGGGACCCCCACCCAAGCACCCCTCGTGCCCAGCATGGAGGGGGGGGGAACGGCCCGAGGTGCGTCTTATTTCTCCGTGTCGAGGGTGGTAGTTCAGCTACGCTCGGGGTGCTCCGGTGGCACGGGGAATCTGGGATCGGAACAGCTTCTGGAATGTCTGGAAAACTAAAAAATAACACGCACAAGGATTCGGGGGTGGTGGTGCGGACTTGGCCCCCGCTGGCTGCCGACCCCCCCCCCCGTATCGCTCTGCCTCGCCACGCTCGCCAGCTGTGCCCGCGGTTTCGGGGGTGGGGGGTGGCTGTGTGTCTGGGCCACGTTATCCCCTCGGGGCCTGGACTGCGGCCCGAATCCTTGACCGGAGTCGGAAACCGGGCCGACGCGGCCACAAACCCGCCGGTCGCCGGCTCCAAGTTTCTGAGCTCATCTGGAATGGCAGCCAGGGCCCGGGGGGGCCCGGAGGGGCGAGCTGGGCCGGAGCCGCGGTCCGTAGCTTCGTGGCTCAATCGAGGTGGAAGAAACCTCCATTCTCTTCTTCTGAGCAGATTTTAAATCTGCTTTTCCCTCCTGTGAAGGCTACTCAAGGGCTTGGAGGGAAGCAACAATCGAGCGAATGGAGACGTGCGAACGGAGACGTGCGACCGTTTCGCCGCTGGAAATCAGCTCATCCACCAAGCACACCCCAAAAAAAAGTAAATAATTTAGCCATTTACATTAGGGTCCGTCTACGGTGCTGGAGTTGCCCCCACCCCCCCCCCACAGGAAAACCCAGAATGCTCTGGGGTTCGCGCTGAGCAGCCCTGCCCCGTCAGATCTTCCCTCCCACAGCGGACGACTCGGCTCAAACGTCACGTCCGGGCGGTGGCATCCGCAGAGGAGACACGCCGGCCAACAGTAGCACCGCAGAGGGGGGGGGGGACACTAAAGCGTCCTTCTCCAAACAGCCCGCCTCCCCCCCCGACCTGAGCGTCCGACCCACCAGAACCGCAACAGCTCCCGAGCAAAAAAACAAACCAAACGAACAGCTGCGGGCCGGCCTGTGGACAAGTCTCCGTCCGCGATGACGGCACACAGAACCTGGGCGCTATGCTCTCACGGATCCAGGAGCCCCCCGAGACTCACCAGCCCCCCGGGGGGCGCAGATCGGCGACTGAGGACAGAGGGGCTACTACCAGCATGAATGACCCACAGCCAGCCCCCCCCCCCCCCCAAGAGGTAACCCCCATAAAGAGTCTTAATAAAGTGAGGGACGCCGAGCCCCGAAAGGGGGCTCGTGTGGCCCCGGTCCCTGCAGAGCTGCTGGCTCTCCGCCCTCCGTCAAGCCCGGCCCACAATCACTCAGTCGGACCCCTAACCCTGGTGAACCGGGCCAGATCCGACTGGCGGTGTCCACCCCTCCTCCATCCCGCCTGGATCTAAAAAAACAACAACCCCACCCCC